AAAATTTTGTGTAATTAAATTTTAATTCAAATGTATCAAGTTGGTGTATCATGCTTAATGAGATGACCAATATATAATATTATAGATTTAACTAGAGACCCCAAATTTCAGAATAAGCCGGAAGTTTCCCCATGAAGCATTCTAAGAGGTCACTGGCGTTCACTATGTTTATATTTCAAGTGCGAGAATCTATGTCGTGAATATTTTGGTGTGCCATAAAAAAGTCGCAAACCTAATTTTTCTCTAATAAATCAAACAATGGTTATGTACAATACTGTATGTTTAATTATTATGAACGGATTTTTTAAAGGCTAATTTCACATACGAATTTATATATGAATTCGCACTGATTTAGGTACACTTTTTTTTACCTAACTAACTGACAAAATTGCATCGTATTTTTTTTTAAACTATGGTTCTAGACTAGCTCTATACCGTAATAGAGCCAGTTTGTAACAACTTTTAAAAAAAATTTTATTCTAATTTTATGAAAAGTTATTGCAAAAATGGTTCTATTACAGTATAGAGCAAGTCTATAGTTTTAAAAAAAATGCGATGCGATACATGTTAGTTACCGTAAATTCTCCAGGGGTAAAATTATGAAATTTAGCCTAAATTAAGGCCAAAACTCAAAATAACGCCCATGTCCGCTATTTTGAGAATTTAAAAAAAGCGTACCTAAATCAGTGCGAATTCATATGTAAATTCTTAACCTTTAAAAAATTCATTCATAATAATTAAACATATAGTACATAACTATCGTTTGATTTATTAGAATGTTGATCACCCTAACTGTGCGTGCACACAAAAACATTTTGCGCACACATTTTTTTGAATAGAGGTGCGGATGCCGCACAGAAAAAGCTGTCATGTTGTAAGTAGTGCGCACAGATAGTTTCTTGTTTTTTTTTTTTACTTGCCGCACAGAAAAGGTCTATAAATTGTGCGATGTGCAACATCCGCACAGTAAATTTTAATTGAAAAATTTACACCTCCTTATTATTTTTATGGTTTTGCAATCGAAATACAAGGCCAACTGCATGAATTATAGATTGAATTCTTTCATAGAGGAGATATGAAAATCTTATCAATCAATCAACAACACCGAGACCAAATTAAGAAGGAACTCTGTGAAATGAATTGGATTGTTCTCAGATGTGTTTGGTGTTATGGAGGCCCATATAAAATAATTCTGGCCACTTTATGAGAGCTGGGTCTTATATAATAAAAATAAACTTTTAATTGCTTTTATAAATTAGGGTTCCGCCTTACTTCACCGAAGCTCATTTAGCCGACATCACTCCAAGTGAAATTTACTAAAAATATATTATAAAACGCTAACCTTAACCCTATGTGATGTTGGCTAAATGAGCTGTCAGTGAAGTGGGCAGTATCGATAAATTAGCTATTATTTTTTTCGATATAATAATCTGATATTCTTTAGCTCAATCAGGATGAAAAGAAGAAGGAATGCCTTTTTTTATTTATAATATCAACGAGGTGTCTAACCAATCTTTGGAACGAATGAAAGTAATAAATTTTTACCGATCCTCCATTCATATTTCTAGTTTGAGGGGTCGCATAGTGGAAAAATAAATATGGTTAAGTTATTAATCTCACGTTGGATAATAAATTTTAACAAATGTTCAAAGGTAAGAAAAGTAATCACTATCAGGGTTGACATTGGACAATGTCCAAATAAATTTAATTGGACATTTGGACATAGTCCAAATGTCCAAATTATTTTTTGGACCTTCAGGCATTGGACAATATCCAAAAAAATTGTAAGATTATTGGACATAAGTCCAATTGTCCAATAATTTTATCGGACAATTTTAATAATATAACTAGTGATTTGACCCGTCTAAAAAATTGGCATCCGGGTCACCCGTTGGGTGGGCCATGTGCCACCCGGGTGACCCGTTGGAGGTGAACCGGGTGACCTGCTGAAGGTAAACCAAGTGACCCGGGACACGTATAAAATTTTTCGCTTAGTGATTTGACCCATCTAAAAACTCTCCACCTGGGTCCCAACGGGTGAGCTATAAGTCACCCGAGTGGAATCGGGTCAGATGAAAAATGTTATCACCCGTCCGTCACTCGGTGGGTCATATAAAAAAGCTACCGGGTGGTACACACATCATTACAGCTCATAAATTTTGGAACAACTGAAAAAATTGCCGATAACTGAATCGATAAGTTACCGAGTCGGAATCAATAAGTAACCAACTTTGGCCAAACTCAGAAACTTATCGATTCGGTTATTGGCAATTTTTTCAATTGTTCCAGAATTTATGAAAACAGCTGTAAAAAAAAATATATTCTTTTACGATCCTGACTGTCTACAATTCTGAAACTCTCCGATAGTAACCTTAGGTGACCCGCGGGTTGACCCACCCGTCTTCAACCCGGGTGACACCCACCCGGGTCAAAACACTAAATATAACGGCAAAAGCTTTATTGCTTTTAACTCCAATAATGACGTTTATTAATTTTATTATTTTTGAAATACAACTCATTTTACAGTTTCTAACATTCTGTTCAATTAATCATAGTTCACTAGGGCAATACCAAATATATATTTTTAAAACTATATAGTGTGAGTATGTACATATATAAACATGTAAGTAAAATGGAATTTAAGTTGATCCAGTAGTGTGAATATGCATATTTATAAAATAATAATAATAATAATTACCAGTATCTTTTTAGTAAATTAGAGATATCGATATTTTGTATTAGTGAATATTGGCCCGAATTAAGTTTAATTTAGGCCAAAGCTAAATTGTTTTTTTTTATGTCCAATAAAAAATTTACTATGTCCAATCAAATTATTTGGACAATTTCTAAAGGTTCAATATCGTAACATGCCATCCCTAATCACTATATCAAAAATGTTGCCTAGTGTTAATAGGTATGCATTTTTAACCGGTTATCAGACTTTTATATAAACTTCTAAACCATATCGAGAGGAAGTTACGTTTAAGAGGTTATCACAAACAAGATCCCAGCTATAAATAAACTAACAACAGAACGGAGTACGGCTGCCGTGTTGAGGATCTGTGTGCGAATCAAAGAAAGTTCGAGACGGATTATTCCATATTTTTATTAGCAGTCGGCATTAAAATATATGTAAGCCCAGAAATATCAAGCCGTACCAAAGATAATTCATGAAGATTTGAGCCATCTTGTTATTTAACAATGGGAAGCCAAAAAGATCTTGCCAATTTGTGGATGATCCGAAAAAGCATCCAAGATCATTGATAAACATGAATAATATTTGTTTTTTATACGTATAAGAAATATATATGATTTCACGATTGAAATTCAGGGTTTCAACACGAGAATATATCAGAATGCGATCCAAAATTTTGTCCAATAAGTACGGGTGCAATTCAAGAATAATGAAAAAAACTGGTTATTTTAAGTGTTACACCCAAATGTTAATCATGCGAAAAATAAAATATCTTAGATATTATAATCACAGTAAAACATTACACCATAAGGGCATAATCAAAAAATTCATATTCAATTCTCTCATCAGCCGATAACTTGTTTATTCTACAGATAGAAAGACAAACATCTGCAACTCCAGCCTGATGATGAGCCCTTTAGCAAAAAGAAAAAAAAAACAATAAAATCATTAGAACATGGTTAAAAAATCCCTCCAAAAATTTAAATTCGTATACCAGAGAGGAAAACCGTATTGACAACGAGAAATTGCTAGGCAATTCTTAAACAAAAACAAAGTGTTCAATCCGTTAAAATTCTCGCCACCATTTTCTACAATATAGTTGACAAGGGCGACTTGTGTCTGGTCAGGTACTCCGTTTCGACAATTTGCCATTGGGGTATCGTTGAATCCGTTATTGTTCTATTGGATAAAGATAGCAGGATCGTCAACATTCATATTTTTCGTCGCTTTAAGGATCAATTTAGCGGTATTCTCGTTTTGTAGGAAGTTCGGGGGAACCAAAGGTTCTAAAAAAACAGAAGCTTTTAGTTTTTTATATACGAATGTCAGTTATGGTGTTGTCAATATTTACCCATTTTCTCTGCGAGTTTTTCCACTTTTGTTCTTTTAAATTTTGGTTTATCCATGATTCGCAATAACAATTTAGAAAGTTGAAAGTAGAAGTACAGTTGACTCTGATCCTGTCAAAAGTCTATAAACGGTCAAAACCACCATAATCAATAATAATAACCTGCCATTTCTGATAACTTATAAAGTCACATGATAAGCAACCAATCAAATCAACCATCATATATTTTCGACATATCGAAATGTTAAACTCTGTGAAATAAACATCTTTATAGCAAACTGTAAAAGATTAAATTTATGTCAATTCAGTAGGTAATTGTTAGCTTTTGGAAAATCTTTTTTTCAAATATTCACATAATTAAAAGAAGTTGACGTAATGCAGAAGAAATTTGAATCCGAATTAGAGAAGACTGGATCGTAGTGTTCATACTTTTCGCTAATGGATATTGTTACGTTTTTTTTATAAAAAAGATGTTGGTTTCAATTGATTATAATAAAGCAAAATTGAAAATTTACTTTATAGCTCTAAATAAAAGTGATACATTCGAATTTAAATTTTCTTCTGAATTACGCCTTACTTTCTTTATAACGAACTGAATATTTTAAAAAGTTTTCCCAAAGTTAACACTTACTATACTGAATTGATATAAAATTTAATCTTTACATTTTGTTATACTAAATTGATATAAAATTTAATCTTTATATTTTGTTATAAAGACGGTCATTTTACTATATTGAGACGTATGTGCACATATGATATCGTAAAATATTCCATGTACACATCACATAGTAATTCATTACATCACATAGTAATTCATTTAATTTACTCAAGTCTGCAATTTCTCACGTTTGCCATACCTTGATAAGTTATTCTGTGATAATATAATGCTATTATGTCAATTTGATCGATCTGTGTCTTATTTATACCTTGAATCTTCATTCTGCCTAACCTTCGATAAACATCACCACGACAAGATTTGGTTCTATTTCTAATGACCTATTTAAGTGCGAGAGATTTTTCATATCTGTCCAATTGAGATATATTATTCTGCGATTATCTAATGTGATTAAATCTATGTGTGATTTTTTCATATAGTATTTACTAATGATACAGACATTCTCAGAGTAGTGACTACTTATTACGGCTATTACGTAGAGGTCGTACTACTCCGAGGTTATATTGCCGTGAGATAGTTGTCGTGAGTGATGGTAGTATGCTGTATAGCGTTACTACCCTAAAAAATTTTGCTGGCCAATCAAATTTCAGTAACCACAAAAAAAATCAATATTTTTGTATTTTTGTGCAAGATGGTTTACACAATTATAATCAATTTTTTGTATACCATCCAACCAAGTTGCTGAATATACATAACCAAATCCTCTTTTACCAATTTCTTTAACGTTAGATACTGTATAAGCACGAAATAATGTCCACCTGTGCGTTATTTTGAAATAACAGTAGATTTTCTAAACCCAATACAGTCAACCTTCCATAACTGTATGTTTTAGGTAAAAGTGCATTTATAGAATATTCATTTATGGAGCATAATATTAAATAATTACAATAGATTGATTATGTGCACTTATAGAGAGTGCACATATGGAGTGCCGACTGTATATCATTTATCACAATAAATTATGTGCTACATTAGGATGCGCGTTAATTCGGGACGCCCATGTGCGTTATTTCGAAACAAGAGTAAATCCAATACAACCAGCCTTCCATAACTGCACGTTTTTGGGTAAAAGTACATTTATACGTAGAATATTCATTTATGGAGTATAATCTACATATAACGATAATATTAAATAATTACATTAGATCGATCAAATTATGTGCACTTATCATTATATGTGAAGTTGAGGTGGGCGATATACTATGTACTGTAAATCAAACTATATGTAGTTATATAATAAAATTTATTACCGAAAATTTTTAGATAAGTAATAATTTTTATAATAATTATTGCAAATTTTTGAATGGCCTAACGGCTCGATAGTTTTGAACAAAATTTTGTAAAAACCAGTATTACGTCTTTACAAAGGTATAGAGCTATTTTATTTATTTTATACATGAAAGTTTTAATACACTGTGTATTTTTTTTTAAAAAAAAAAAAGGCAAGAAGAAAGGACTTAATTGGTTTCTTTTTTAAAGAAATAGCTCTACGACTTTGTTTGTAGAGATGTAGTACTGGTCTTTGAAAAATTTTATCCAAAACTATTGAACTGTTAGGGTTGTGCATCTATTTAAAATTTGCAATAATTATTATAAAATCTTTAGTAAATTCTATCATATAGCTTTGATTTACATAGTATATCGCCCCACCCCAGTGTGAGTGCAATTATAGAGAGTGCATATCATTTATCGCAACAATAAATTATGTGCTACATTAGAATGCGCGTTATTTCGGGATGCCCATAGTGTGGATCCGATTTTCAAAATAATGCCTATGAGCGTTATTTCGCGCTTATACGGTAATTTGTTGAATGAAATCCGTTCAATCGCATTCCCGGGTTCTAAGCTGAAATTCTCTGATGCAATCATAATATTCTCATTTTTATTTGTTGGGATCACGCATGCTTTAAACGTGTTGTCTTTATTACAATGTATACTTTTGCCGTATTTAGATTACTTTAATCATTGTCAAATATTATATATATATTTTATATCATTAAAATTTTATTGTAATACTCACTGACCGAATAGATGGTAATCTGAAGGGTATTAGATAGTAGTAAATAAATAGTTGTAAACATGAATCACTTTTTTAATCCACCGATTAATAGATCGTCTTTATATTCGCCACTAAATTAAGGCGAATGACGGCCTACGGTATTCATACAGCATACAACACTTATACGGCATTTATACAGCATGTGGTACTTCTACTTATACGCAAATATGCTATATCACCATGATATTTTTGCTGGGTAGCTACCTTCAAAATTCTCAAATGTTTGCATCTTTAAACATGATAATATTTGAAAATAAAAATTATAATTTTGCAATATTTGTATTTATATTATAAGACAAAAAGTTTAAATTGTTTATAAATTAAAATTATTTACAATTTCTTGATAAATCTTTTAAATATTAGTTTAAAAATATAACTTCTAATACAATGTAGTTTATGTAAAAAATAATAACTTTTTTTTTGTATTAAGGTGACCTTCTTGGCCTGGGACTTTTATTAATTGAATCTGACATTACAATTAGAATGAGGGTACACTCCTCTGACAAAAGTCACCGGCTTTTTAATAATCAACTAATTTATTAATGATCGTAGCCACATATAAAAATTATTTTTTTATATGCAAATCAGTCTTTGCATAGTAAATAAAGTTGATAATCATGACGATTTGCATATAATTTGAAATTTTTAGAAAATTTCAATAAATTTTTTTTGTATTTTAG